TATATATATATATATATATAAATATAATGTGCATATATATATATATATATAATATTTGAAACTTTTAATATGGATAATTTAAAAAATAGTTTTGGCATAATAGCGCCCCCCATGTGTGGCGCCCCTATGAGCTGCATATACTGCATACCCCCTTTTTGCGCCACTGATCACACTGAAGATGCTTTGGCATACACACTCACTGTAATGTGTGTCTGCTGTTGCAGAATAATGTTTACTTGTGTGTGTGTGCATGTGTGTTTGTGACAGCAGAATGTGTTGCGGCACCACTGGGTTCATCGTCGCCGACAGGAGGGAAAATGTCGACAGTGCGGCAAAGTACGTCACACAAACACAGCCTACTTCATCTACAGTGTAAAACATATCTGTGAATTAAGAGCTTTCAGTTTACTTACGGTTGTGAATTGCATTATGGGATGTTAATCTCTGCTCTGTATACCTTGGATGTTGAAAATTCAACTTTACAGTTCAACAAAGTGACTTTTATCGACATATTCGTAGTTTGAAATAATATAATGTATAAGAAATAATATGTAGATAGATCAATAAGTTTGTAAAATAAAAAAAAATGCACGGGCAGTTTATTACAAGGTTTTTGTAGTGTATTATGCAACACCAACCCAGACAATATATCACTTTAAACTATTAAGAATGTTAATAAAAGTTACTTTTTTCATGGTTAATAGATGTTGGAAGAAAGCTCAAGCTACCATAATGCAGTTTAAAAGCACAAATAAAAAGGGGAACATTAAAACAGCTAGTTTATGGATATTATTTGTGTACAGAGACAAGAACGAGTCTTAATGCAGTATTTTCTCTGTCCTTGCAGAGTTTTCCACAGAAGTTCTTCCACAGTAAGGAGATCGTGGCCATCAGCTGCTCCTGGTGCAAACAGGCGGTGAGGGGCAGCTTATAAAGGGATAATTCACCCAAAAGTGAACATTTACTCATCATTTACTCATCCGCAAATGCTTCCAAACAGAGCCATCTGTCGCATAATATGCAAATGCTAGAGCAACTTGGGGCAACAAAACGAGTGATGAGCAAAAACAAACTTTTGTTTTGTGTGCGATTAATCGCGATTAATCTTCGCCCAGCACTACAAAAAAATAATTATTACTATTAAAAGTGTTGTTCATTATTAGTTCTAGTTAGGAAATGTGCTAATATTAACAAATTATACCTTATTTTATCTATAGTCTACCTCTGCAATAATTTACATCTAACAAGTGTTGCCTTTCTATCAGTTTGAACCAGTCTGGCCATTCTCCTCTGACCTCTAGTATCAACAAGGCATTTGTGCCCACAGAACCGCCACTAACTGGATATTTTCTCCATTCTCTGTAAACCCTAGAGATGGTTGTGCATGAAATCCCAGTTGATCAGCAGTTTCTGAAATACTCAGCCCAGCCCGTCTGGCTCCAACAACCATGCCACGTTCAAAGTCAGGCAATAAAATCACCTTTCTTCCTCATTCTGATGCTCGGTTTGAACTGCAGCAGATCGTCTTGACCATGTCTGCATGCCTAAATGCATTGAGTTGCTGCCATGTGATCGTCTGATTAGAAATGTGCGTTAACGAGCAGTTGTACAGGTGTACCTAATAAAGTGGCCGTGTATATTATGTGTGTGTGTGTATATGTAGTTTCTGTATAAATGTTTAAATGAAGTGAGGCAAGGCCGCAGGTAAAATTGGATGTCAGCTTCAAGACCTTTATGTTGTACTCAAAAGAAGATATTTTGAAAAATGTTGTAAATCGATAGCCGTTGACACATCCATAGTAAATATTATAGATCCAAACAAATACCGCGGAAGAGTCAGTGTCTACCAGTTTCCAGCATTCTTCAAAATATCTTTATTTTTAGCTCAACAGAAGAAGCTCAAAGAGGTTTGGAACAAGCGGAGGGTGAGTAAATGATGGCAGAATGTTCACTTTTGGGTCAGTGATCGCTTTAACTCACAAAGTCTTGTTGGTTTTGTGCTGCAGACTGACCTCTTTCTCTGTTTGCAGTTCCACAACAAGGTGACGTGTTTCATGCTGCATCAGATTGAGGAGCCCTGTTCACTGGGAGCTCACGCCGGGGTCATTGTCCCACCATCCTGGATTATTAAAGTCCGGAAACCGCAGGTACGCTCAACTCCGATGACAGAGTCTGTGTGTGATTAGAGGGCCTCGATACACTGCAAGCCAAACCAAAGATCAAACATAATTTCTAGCTAAATCCAGCTGAAATAATCTATAATTCAGAACTTGTTTTGGCTTTTAAAGTCACCATGAAATCAAAATGGACTCTTCTTATTTTAATATGTAGAGTTGAAGTCAGAATTATGTATACTTTGCCCCCAATTTCTGTTTAAGACCTGAGCCTGAAGCGAGGTTTATGTAGGAGGCTCTAATGGAAAGTGACACCGGACTGTGTTTTAAAGCTGAGCTGTGCGCTCTTGTCTTTCTACACTGATCAGCTTCAGCTTAAATATGCTTGGAATCATCTACATAATTTATATGGAGCTTCTTTCATTGTGTTCTACACTTCTGACATCAGTTTTTCTGTTGCATTGCGAGCTACGATCGATTGAATTGATCAAAAACCGACCCATCATATCAAAAGTCATAGCAGACACTTAGGCCACGCCCATTCTTGTGACATGATTGGTGGATTCATTCATGCATTGATGGGGAGAGTTTTTGAACGGTGGCACAGACATCGATGCCACTTTCAATTCAGGAGTTGCTAAAAGGGAAGTTTCTTTTTTTTTAATGCAAATATTGTTGGAGTAGTTCATCCTCATGTTGTTCTGTGAAATATTCGTTTTTGTAAACCTACAACTTGGTCCTGCTGGTATATCTTAGTCGGCGTCTCTCTCCTGTGTCCCAGAGCTCATTTAAAAACTCCACTCGGAGGAAAAAACGGACGTCGTTCAAAAGAAGAGCCAGCAAAAAGGGCACGGATGTGAGTAAATCTGATTCCTGTGCTTTTCCCAGGTTTTCTGAGGGCCTTTTCTTCCCTTAACTCCTGCTCTGTGATCATCTGTCCCCACACAGCCTACTTCAGTGTGTGTATGTGTGTGTGTCGTTGTGCTAATGCGCATTCATTGAAGTATAATGAAGTGACTTGTGCAGGAATCTAAATGGCGTCCATTCATGCTGAAGCCGCTGCCGTCACCGCTGATGAAACCAGTGCTGGTGTTCGTCAACCCGAAAAGTGGAGGAAACCAGGTAGGCTTCATGGAGGAATAATTGACAGTCATTATGGCACAATAAACGCTGAAAGAGCCAGAATGACTAAATGACTGCACATTAAAAGCGTATCATATGTCTACTTAGCATACTAGTTTAATAAATACATGAACAAATATGTTATATTAGCAAGTTTGACTCCAAATAAAATGAACACAAGATATATTATTTCTTGTTAGATGTTGTTCTGTCAGTCATTCTGTCTGTTGTTCTGTAATCCTCTTGTCTGTCATTCAATCTGTTGTGTTGTCATCGTTTTGTCTGTCATTCTGTCTGTAATGATTCTGATTCTGTAATCATTCTGTCTGTCATTCTGCACTAATTTTGTCTGTCATTATGTCTGTTATTCTGTACTCAATCTGTCTGTTGTTCTGTCTTTCATTCAAGCTGTTTTGTTATAATTATGTTTGTTGTTCTGTCATCTTGCGAGTCTTTCTGTAATCATTTGTCTGTCATTTTGTCTGTTGTTCTGTCATTCTGTCAGATTTTTCTGTCGTTCTCTCTATCGTTCTGTCTGTTGTTCTGCCTATCATTCAATCTGTTTTGTAGCCATTCTGTCTGTCGTTCTGTCATTTTGCGAGTCTTTCTGTAATCATTTTGTCTGTCATTCTGTCTGTTGTTTTGTCTGTTGTTCTGTCATTCTGTCTGTTGATTTTTCTGTCGTTCTCTCTATCGTTCTGTCTGTTGTTCTGCCTATCATTCAATCTGTTTTGTAGCCATTCTGTCTGTCGTTCTGTCATTTTGCGTGTCTTTCTGTAATCATTTTGTCTGTTGTTCGTCTGTCATTCTGTCTATCGATTAATCTGTTGTGTTGTCATCATTTAGTCTGTCATTCTGCACTAATTTTGTCTGTCATTCTGTCTGTTGTTTTTTCTGTCATTCAAGCTGTTTTGCTATCATTCTGTCTGTTCTGTCATTTTCCTTGTCTCTTTGTAGTCATTTTGTCTGTCGTTCTGTCTGTTTTGTCTGTTGTTCTGTCATTTTGTCTGTTGTTTTGTCTGTTGTTTTGTCTATCATTCTGTCTTTCATTTAATCTGTTGTGTTGTCACCGTTTGGTCTGTGATTCTGTCTGCCATTCTGTCTTTCTGTAATCATTCTGTCTGTCATTCTGCACTCATTTTGTCTGTCGTTCTGTCTGTTGTTCTGTCTATCATTCAAGCTGTTTTTTATCATTCTGTTTGTTGTTCCTTCATTTTGCGTGTCTTTCTGTGATCATTTTGTCTGTCATTCTGTCTGTTTTGTCTGTTGCTCTGTCATTCTGTCTGTTGTTTTGTCTGACATTGTCTGTCTTTCAATCTGTTGTGTTGTCATCATTTTGTCTGCGATTCTGTCTGCCATTCTATCTTTCTGTAATCATTCTGTCTGTCATTCTGCACTCATTTTGTCTGTCGTTCTGTCTGTTGTTCTGTCTATCATTCAAGCTATTTTTTATCATTCTGTCTGTTGTTCTGTCATTTTGCGTGTCTTTCTGTAATCATTCTGTCTGTCTGTTGTTTCGTCTGTTGTTCTATCATTTTGTCTGTTGTTTTGTCTGTTGTTCTGTCATTCTGTCTGTTGTTCTGTCTATCATTTAATCTGTTGTGTTGTCATTGTTTTGTCTGTCATTTCGTCTGCCATTCTGTCTTTCTGTAATCATTCTGTCCGTCATTCTGCACTCATTTTGTCTGTCATTATGTCTGTTGTTCTGTCTATCATTCAAGCTATTTTTATCATTCTGTCTGTTGTTCTGTCATTTAGCGTCGCTTTCTGTAATCATTCTGTCTGTCATTCTGTCTGTTGTTTTGTCTGTTGTTCTGTCATTCTGTCTGTCGTTCTGTCTGTTGTGCTGTCTGTTGTTCTGTCTATCATTTAATCTGTTGTGTTGTCATTTTTTTGTCTGTCATTCTGTCTGCCATTCTGTCTTTCTGTAATCATTCTGTCTGTCATTCAGTCTGTCGTTCTGTCCATCATTCTGTTTGTCTTTCTGTAATTATTTTGTGTCATTCTGTCTGTTGTTCTATCTATCATTTAAGCTGTTTTGTTATCATTCTGTCTGTTCTTCTGTCATTTTGCATGTCTTTCTATAATCATTTTGTCTGTCGTTCTGTCTGTTATTTTGTCTGTTGTTCTGTCTTCTATCAGTCTTTTTGTCTGTTGTTCTTTATGTCATTCTGCACTCGTTTTATCTGTCAATTGTCTGCCATTCTGTCTTTCTGTAATCATTCGTCTATCATTCAATCTGCCGTTCTGTTTATCATTCTGTCTGTCTTTCTGTAATTATTTTGTGAAATTCTGTCTGTTGTTTTGTCTGTCGTTCTCTCTATCATTCTGTCTGTCATTCAATCTGTTGTTTTGTCATCGTTATGTCTCATTCTGCACTCATTTTGTCGTTCTGTCTGGCTTTCTTTAATCATTCTGTTTGTCGTTCTGTCTGTCATTTTGTCTTTCTGTAATCATTCTGTCTGTCATATTGTCTATCATTCAATCTGTTTTGTTACTATTCTGTCTGTTGTTTTGTCTGTTGCTCTGTCTGCGATTCAATCTGTCGTTTTGTCTGTCATTCTGCACTCAGCTTGTCTGGCTTTCTTTAATCATTCTGTCTGTTGTTCTGTCTGTCATTCTGTCTTTCTGTAATATTTTGTCTGTCATTCGGTCTATTATTTAGTCTGTTCTTCTGTCTGTCATTTGTATGTCTTTCTGTAATTTTTTGTGTCATTCTGTCTGTTGTTTTGTCTGTCGTTCTGTCTATCATTCTGTATGTCATTCTGCACTCTGTAATAATTTTTTATGTCTGTTGTTTTGTCTATTGCTCTGTCTGCCATTCTGTCAGTCGTTTTGTCTGTCATTCTGCACTCATTTTGTCTGTCGTTCTGTCTGGCTTCTTTAATCATTCTGTCTGTCATTCTGCCTTTCTGTAATCATTTTGTCTGTCATTCAGTCTATCATTTAGTCTGTTGTTCTGTCTGTCATTTGTCTGTCTTTCTGTAATTGTTTTGTGTCATTCTGTCTGTTGTTTTTTCTGTAGTTCTGCCTATCATTCAATTTGTTTGGTCTCTCATTCTATCTGTTATTCTCTCTGTATTGTCATAATTTTTTCTGTAAGATTATAATAATTCTGTCTGTCATTCTGTCTGTTTTTTTATTTATTTTGTGTCATTCTGTCTATCATTTTGTCTTTGTTTGTATCATTAATCTCTCTATATACACAATTCTGTCAGTCTGAACTTGTGACGTCTGTGATTTTCAGGGCACGAAGCTCCTGCAGATGTTCATGTGGATCCTGAACCCTCGGCAGGTGTTTGATTTGTCTCAGGGAGGCCCCAGAGATGCGTGAGTCTCCGTTTCAGATCATCTCTCCCTTCCGTAATGCGCTTTAACCCACCATTTGTCTCCAGCACGTTAATTATGTAGTCGTCGAATCTCTGAGAGAGTTCAGTGTTTCTAGAAGCTGCCCGCTGCCCACTGCTTCAGTTGTGTCAGTAATTGAGCTGTAAGGCCGTTCAACACACAGAAACACACAGAGAAAGAGAGTATTGAGACACAGCTGGACGACTGGGGGCTTTTCTTCAGATCTGACTGACAGAGCTGTGATTAAACTCCCTCTATTAAAGCAGAAAATCAACATTTGCGCACACACACAGGGGGTTTTAAAGACTCTCCATAGGCATAATGCATTTTATGTAAAAACTTGTGGCAAAATTTGAATGTGAAAAGCATGTGAAAATATTTTGTTTTTAAGGGGTTATACCCATCTCATTATACAATCAACTGTACTTGTAAACCACCTATACCAGTACACACACACACACACACACACTCCTTTAATCCACACTTAAAAATCTACCAGCAGGGGTCACTAGCAAATAATGACTATTAACGGTTTATATTTTTTATGTTTGTTTGTTTATTTATTTATTTACTGAGTTAGTTAGTTAGTTAGTTAGTTAGTTAGTTAGTTAGTTAGTTAGTTAGTTAGTTAGTTAAGGGGGTAGTTATTTGGGTTAGTTAGTTACTTAGTTAGTTGTCCAGTTAGTTTGTTAGTTAGTTGGTCAGTTAGTTAGGTATTTGGTCAGTTGGTTAGTCAGTCAGTCAGTTAGTCAGTTAATCTGTTAGTTAGTTAGTTTGTCAGTCAATCAGCCAGCCAGCCAGCCAGTCAGTCAGTCAGTCAGTCAGTCAGTTAGTCAGTTAGTATTTCTGTCAGCCAGTTACTTAGTTGATTGGTCAGTTACTCATTTAGTTTCATTAGTTGGTGAATTAGTTAGTAAGTTAGTTAGTCAATTAATCTGTTAGTTAGTAGTTCAGCTAATCTGTTAGTTAGTTGGTCAGTTAGTCTGTAAGTTAGTTGGTCAGTTAGTTAGTTGGCCAGTTAGTCAGTTAGTTAGTTGGTCAGTTAGTCGATTATTTAGTTGGTCAGTGAGTCTGTTAGTTAGTTGGTCAGTTAGTTAGTTGGCCAGTTAGTCAGTTAGTTAGTTGTTCAGTTAATCTATTAGTTAGTTAGTTGGATGGTCAGTTAGTTAGTTGGTCAGTTAATCTATTAGTTATTTAGTCAGTTAGTCTGTTAGTTAGTTGGTCAGTTAATCTATTAGTTGGTAGGTCAATTATTCAGTCAGTTAGTTGGCCAGTTAGTCTGTTAGTTAGTTGTTCAGTTAATCTGTTATTTAGTTGGTCAGTAAATCTGTTTGTTGGTTGGTCAGTCAGTTGGTCAGTTAGTGTGTTAGTTAGTTGCTCAGTTAATCTGTCAGTTAGTTGCCCAGTTAGTCTGTTAGTCAGTCAGTCCATTCGTTAGTTGCTCAGTTAATCTGTTAGTTGGTTGGTCAGTTAGTTAGATAGTTAGTCATTTATTCTGATAGTTAGTCAGCCAGGCAGCCAGTTTGTTAGTTAGTTAGTTGGTCAGCTAGTCTGTTAGTTAGTTAGTTAGTTAGTTAGTTAGTTAGTTAGTTAGTTAGTTAGTTAGTTAGTTAGTTGGTTAGTTGGTTAGTTAGTTAGTTAGTTAGTTAGTTGGTTGACCAGCTTTTCAGTCAGTCAGTCAGTTAGTTAGTTAGTTAGTTAGTTAGTTAGTTAGTTAGTTAGTTAGTTAGTCGGTCAGTTAGTTAGATCAGCAGTTTCAGACATTACAAATTTCACATTTGTAATGCTAAGTGAAGTATTATATTCATTAGCATGCTAATCAGCTGTAAATGCATGAGTAGCAAATGTCTCTATTGTCTCCATCTGTCCATCAGGTTGGAGTTGTACAGGAAAGTGCCAAATCTTCGCATCCTGGCCTGTGGAGGAGATGGAACCGTAAGACGCAGTGCATGATGGGAAAATTTTTGTCTATATTGAAATGAATCTTTCTGTATTTTCGGAGAGGTTGTGTGTTTCTGACAGTGGTTTTCCTGTTTGTTCAGGTGGGCTGGATTCTGTCGGCTTTAGATGAGCTTCAGATGAACCCTCAGCCTCCTGTGGCGGTACTTCCTCTTGGAACAGGAAATGACCTTGCTAGGACACTCAACTGGGGAGGTGTAAGTTCACGCTTATGATTTTTTAAGGCTAAATCAATCATTTCAAACCTGCATCTGTGCTCATGTTTTCTTCCGTTCTGAATATAATTTCCTGCTGATGTCACATAAAGTACATATTTAAATAATTCTCAAGTGCCAACTAATCGCTTTTTACAGTGTAATAAAATCCAAATTTGCATAAGCATTTGCATATTCTCAATATGTGACATTTACTGCTGAATTCTAATTGGATAAAATGTCATTAGTGCTCCTGGATGGGCTGCTGTGATTGGCTGAGAGTATGTGATTGTGCCGTTGGCCTGTGAAGTGCTCGTCTCTGATAAATGCCACTCATTACTCTCCATTATGCCTGGAGAAACACCGGCCTTGGAATGTGGAGTGTGTTTTTCCCCATGTTCTCCGTCCCTCAGGCCAAAGTCTATTATCAGCAATGAAGCGGCTGTGATGATCCTCGCTGTCGGAACATTTGAATTGATGCAATAATCATTGCAATTCATGTCAAGTGCTGTGTTTATGCCGGGAGTAAATGACCCTGTACAGTAGCCATGTTACGCTGCCTTGCACTAAAATCGACACCCTTGATGAGCAAAGAAGGCTGAGAAATTTTAATGCTGCTTTTTTATGTGTTTCAGGGCTACACAGACGAGCCGGTGTCGAAGGTGTTGTGTCATGTGGAGGACGGCTCTGTGGTCCAGCTGGACCGCTGGAATCTGCAGGTGGAGCGCTCAGTGGTCCAGCACGAGGAGGGAACACAGAAGGTAAACACTGCAGTCATCGTGATATACTGTATGAATATCTCACATTTACACAATGCTGATGTGTGTGTGTGTGTGTGTGTGTGTGTGTGTGTGTGTGTGTGTGTGTGTGTGTGTGTGTGTGTGTGTGTGTGTGTGTGTGTGTGTGTGTGTGTGTGTGTGTGTGTGTATGTGTTTTCTCAGCTTCCTTTAAATGTGTTCAATAACTACTTCAGCCTCGGTTTCGATGCCCACGTCACCCTGGAGTTTCACGAGTCCAGAGGTTTGTGTCATTGTGTTGTATTAAAGGACTAAATGTAGACATACTGGATAAGCAATTTGTTACTTTAAACCTATTGCCCTTAAAGCAACAAGCTGATTTTACTTAAAGCCAGTAAACCCATTGACTTAATTTTTATGAAGACAACTAATCGCTATTTTACAGTGTATGAGGCATATTTTGTAATTTAATCAAGGTTAATTATTATATTATATTATATTATATTATATTATATTATATTATATTATATTATATTATATTATATTATATTATATTATATTATATTAAATTATAAATATATTATATTATAATATATTATATTATTATATTATATTATATTATATTATACTATATTATATTATATTATATTATATTATATTATATTATATTATATTATATTATATTA